CCGTATCGCATAAATACTTTTCCCTTCCACTCTACCGAGAGTCGCATTATTGTTCCGCGTCGCTTTCGTCGATGCAAAAGATCGACTTTTCCTGATTGCTTGCCGGCTTCTATATACATTTACCTGCTTCTTTAAACAAAGGAAGTTCGAAGAACCGGTACAGCGACACCGCGGTTGATCTCGAATCCTTAAATAAAGAATAGAACGCCAGTGGGGATACCTAGCATCGAATTGCTGTGCGATAAAGCAAACGTTAATCCACCGTCATCCTTTTACCTTTATTATTACACAATATAATATAAAAACGAACAACATCTGAGGAATAACAACGAACGCACAGCGTTTGCAAAGCGTGTACAGCGTGTGCGCATACCCAAGGGGATTTCGATACAATTTTTTCACGTAAAATTTCTCGGCGACAATTATTATCATTTTTCACCGTCTTAATTTAGTCGAGAGTTTCTCAATAATATAGCTACACGTTTCCAGACGAGGGCAATTGCACTTTCGCCCCCATTTAGGTCTCTTAACTCCCGTTTCTTGTGAAATCTCAAGAATTTCCTCCATCCGATTCCTCTCATTAAAATACTCCGCGATGCAACAACCAAAGTACATAACGCGTACGGATAGAATTGTTACGTAACTTTTAACCGGATGTTCCTTTCTTTTGGTCAAATATTTGTGACAATTAAGCGATCAACGGGAACCTGAACAAACGAGCCATCAAACGCGTCGACATAGATCGTAATACAGCTGGCAAACACAATTTATCATTAACCAAGCAGTGCATTCGTGCGCGACGCCGTTGACGATTCTAAACTCGTGACACAGTTTAAAAGGGGATTCGTCGTTTCTTTTCGGTTCGCGACATTGTTTAGAGCGGTGTTTTCTAAATTAGGGCTGTTCGATCTTGCGTAGCAAAGGGGGCGTGATGTTTTTTGTAAGGGGGGAGGTTCGAACCTTCTCGACATCGTTAAACACTTTTTCTTTTTAAGAAAACTCGGGTTCGCTGTAGTTATAAGATCCATTTGTGTACGTGAGGCATCGTGGTCGCATTCCGATACATGTAAATCGCAATTTTACGAGGCACGATTCCCATCGAACTGGTTGACACAGACGACGAGGTTGAATCAGGGCAACGTATTATTCGATTGGAAAAACAAGCTGATTCTTTCACACGTGCGCGATGCACGCGCGTTTTATGGGTTTCTATTGGATCCTTTAATGGAAATCGATTAACAAAAATATACGCTTCTTCGAGGCTACGATTGGAAGCAGCGAGCCGAAGTATCGTAAATTCAATTCGATTCGGACTTCTACTTTCATACTTCCGTAAGAATTATTTATATCAATCGTATGTAATCTGTACATCGTTTTCTATTTTCAGGATGAGCAAACCGAACGGTAATGAAGATGATACAAACGAAGACAACAGAACCGGGGCATACGTGAATCACGCCTTAAGCGGATCTGGGGACAGCATACATCTTAGTAATTCGAACAGGTCTCAAGCTCTGCATGATTCGTATGAGAGTCACCAAGGAATACAGGGTTCTTCGGATTTCATATGTAAAGAATCACAGTAATCGATCAACTAATTAACTATATTGTACAAACTATATAAAAAATACTAATTATATACAACTGTTTCGCGTGACATTCAATTTCGTCGACGTAAATGCTGAACGATACGCAAAAGATTGTACTTTGATACTTGAGATGTTTCGATCGTAAATTCCGTAACGGGATGTTAAGTGATTTCTTAACTAACGATACGACAGTTCTTAATTGTCTTTGAGCGAGTATCGGCAATTGATCATTTAGTTTTATTAACCGAGTAAACACACGGCGCTAAATGAGTTTGTTTTTCACAGTGGTGGAGGATCCGGGGGACGACGTGATACCGCAGAAGGACAGCCTCCTAGATTCAGTAGTCCATTACACGAGGCGACGTTTGAGATCAGCGTGCACCAAGAAAACCATTTACAAGAGGCTCCCTATTTTACGTTGGTTGCCAAGATACAGCGGCCAGGATGCACTGGGCGATCTTGTTGCCGGTGTTACCGTAGGCCTCACCGTTATTCCACAATCATTAGCGTACTCCAACGTAGCAGGTCTACCACCGCAGGTTAGCCGGCTGTAACAATTCAAGTTACCATGGTTTAGAACAAAGATAAAGTGCCATTATATTTTTCAGTATGGATTATACGGTAGTTTCATAGGTTGTTTTATCTATATTATATTCGGATCCTGCAAAGATACGCCCTTGGGACCTACCGCCATTATCTCTTTACTCACCTATCAAACGGTATCGCATCTTGACGCACCTGTGCAACACGCGATACTTCTCTGTTTTCTGGCTGGAGTAATAGAATTACTTATGGGGATATTTGGTCTTGGTAAGGGTTTGAATTTTCTTCTTAAAATTCGAGCACGTTTAAAAATAATAATCTCGATTCGTTATCTTATGTTCGCATTTCAGGATTTTTAATTGATTTCGTATCGGGACCTGTTAGCTCGGGCTTTACATCAGCAGTAGCGTTAATAATTGTCACTTCGCAAATAAAAGATGTTCTCGGAATACCTGCCAAAGGATCACAGTTTCTCGAGATGTGGAAAAGTCTCGTCGGACAATTACATAAAACCTCGGCCTGGGACGCCGCGCTTGGCGCAACTTGTATAGCTCTTCTTTTACTTCTTAGAGTAAACAATCTATACTGTTTAAATAATTGCTAGTCCGTTACGATACGTTGATGTAACAAACCGAATATCGTTTTATTCTGTTGCAGCTTCTAGCATCGTACAGTATCGGCCCTAAAGACGAAGAATCGCAAACCTCGAAATATCGCGTTATAAATAAAATCATTTGGTTAATCGGTACATCGCGAAATGCGTTTTTGGTGATACTTTGCGGCCTTTTGGGATATAGTCTTAGCGAAAGATCTCCCTTCAAATTGGTTGGTAAGAACAAATAAAATAGGGTTAACAGTTTCAAAATTCTAATCGAAATAGAGAAATTACAATTGAAGCTAACACGTTCCGTGTAGGTTTTATACCAGGAGGTTTGCCAACTGTACAATTACCACCGTTTAGTTATACCAAAAATGATAATACAACGGTGACGTTTGTCGAGATGGTTTCAAATCTGGGAAGCGGTATTCTTGTTTTGCCGCTTATTTCGTTGATGGAGAACATAGCTATTTGCAAAGCTTTCTGTAAGCTTGTATTTCATTTTGTATACCTCGCATGCTTTAACGACGGATAATGTTATGTCTTATAATTTGAAATTATTTAGAAATATATTACTTATTCCAGCAACTGGAAAATCAGTTGATGCAACGCAAGAACTGATCGCGATTGGAATATCAAACATCGGTAATTCTCTGGTACAGGCTTTTCCCGGTACAGGATCTCTTAGTAGAAGTGCCGTAAACAATGCTTCTGGAGTTAGAACGCCGATGGGTGGTCTTTATACTGGTAATTGTTGTACTTCTCTATAATTACTTCTCTTATAAAAAATAAAAATTTGGCATATCTATCATTTGTTTCAGGTGCTCTAGTAATATTGGCCCTTCTTTTTCTCACTCCATACTTTAGTTACATACCGAGAGCCACGTTAGCAGCCATTATCATAGCTGCTGTGATATTCATGGTAGAAGTTAAGGTCGTAAAACCAATGTGGAGAACGAAAAGTAAATTTATAATTTGTAATAAAAAATTAAAAAGGAAGATTTTAACGATCACGAAGAAATTAAATGTTCTCTTTTCATTTTGTTATTTTCTCGCAGAATCGGATTTAATTCCTGGATTAGGAACATTCATTGCGTGCTTAGTGTTACAACTAGAGATTGGAATCCTATGCGGCATCGGAATAAATATTTTGTTCATTCTTTATCACGCGGCACGACCAAAAATATCCGTAGAAAAACTTACCGTACGTATATCTTTCTTTTTTATTTGTTGATTTATTGTTGATTGGTAATGTTCGATGTTTGCAGAACTTTTTATATTTGCAGACTCGTCATGGTATCGAATATCTCATGTTGACACCGGATAGGTGCTTAATTTTCCCATCGGTAGATTATGTACGAAATTTAGTAACAAAGTATAGCCGACGGGCTGGAAGCGTGACTACTCCAGTTGTAATCGACTGCTCGCATATTTACGGAGCAGATTTCACTGCAGCTACGGTAATCGAAACTTTGACGAGAGATTTTGCCATGAGGGGTCAACCGCTATTTTTCTACAATTTAAAACCTTCTGTTTACGCTGTTTTCGAGGGTGTCGCGTCACCATCGGATTTCGTTGTGTACTACTCCCAGGAGAAGCTGGACAATCTCTTGAAAGGCAAAGGGTACTTAAATCAACCTAAGTAGAGAATGCATTATTTATATGTTGATTTTCTTGTTACGAACTGAATTACCACGGTACCTTTTATTAGTGGTATAATTTCACCCCGTAGGCAGTTTTAAGCAACGCGTTTCTTAATTGCCTTTAATTCGCAAAGGTATAAAAGGGATACTTCTATATTCTTAATTTACCTTTTCATTGTTTTTCAACGAATTAGGTCCAGCTTCGTTGCATTTTATATTTAAAAATACATTACGATCAATGTAATGAATATTCATGTTAAGTGTATTATGTCATGTCACGCTTTCAATAAACAAATTTGTTATAGATCATCATCAACTATAGAAAACTGTCTATCAACAGTTTCTGTTTGTTGCTGATTCTTATCATGACCTACGTTCAACAAACAAAATCATGCGAGAATAATCGAATCCGTTATAGGTGTAAAATTTTTCGATAGATGTAATCCTAAGCATAATGCAATTCTACAAATTTGATTAATTTTACGTTGACCCTTATAGACTGTGATTTGTATAAAATAAAGTATTTAAATATTTGAAATATTTAAATAATTACGAATAGCGATGAAGATATTCTGTAAATACTTAACTCGTGATTCAGAAGTAAATAAAGAAAAAAACAAGAGCATCTTACGTTGGTAAGAATAAATTTTATAAAATACATCGAGATCGCATACATATTTTTATATACTTCTAGTTCGTTCAAGTTCATTACAAGTTCCTTCACCTCGGAACACATGCGAATTAAAGGGAACTTTAGACAAAATCTTCGATAACTATACTTTGACAGGAATTTATTTAAATGTTACTAACTTTGTAAACTCGTGTGTGTAAAAGTGTCAGGAATGTTCAGTTGGAAAGTCATTATACAAATGCACATAAAAAGAGACATGGGCAAAATGAAATCAGCTTAAAAAGAGCTAAAAAAGAAAATGTACTAATAATTGGAATGAGTTTGTGTGACTTTTTAAATAAACGGACCACTGCTCTCCGTCCACGAAGCCTCACAGGAACGCCTACGCATGAAATTCACACAGTATAAAAATACATCACTCCTATGTATACAACACACGTACAAGAAAAGGCACGCGATCCCAGTTTGAACAACGTCTCGTGTAACACGCAGAGGAAAGAAAACGATACTTTCAATAGAATTGTCTTTGTAAACTCCTGCAACAACATCTCACGCAGTCTTCAAAAGTTAACTGAACACCTTCGAACACATTTCGTTGTTCTTCCTGTTTAGAAGATAGGACCTGCCCGGATTGTGTAGCTTCATTCTTCTAGTCTTTCGGAGCCTGTGTCTACTGCCAGCTATTCGTTCGATTTTGTAAATCTGATACTTGACGACATCATTAGGTTGACTGAGCCTCATACACAAGGAAACTGGCCCGGAAAAATCTACGTCGGTTGCCAGCTCCAGTTTCGGTTCCATCGTCATTGAAAACTCCGCGATGCTCTGCACGAAATCGGTGCGTACCTTGGTGCCACCTTGGATCGCCACACCTGCTTTCAAATCTACCAAAGACTGAGCGTTTCTGGACCACAGACTAAGCAGGATTTGCCCTGCCAAATCAAAGCTCACCGCACCCTGAACGTCGGACTCTGCAACGATACCAGAGGCTAAAGGAATGTACTCGTTGTAGTTGTGAATGGAAGCCAGAGCCTGGAACGCTGGAGTCCGCGTGGAAGCGGTGCCAGACCATACGTGACCCATTAGCTCCCCTTGCCCGGAGAAGAAGATGAACGGCCTGATACCAACGCCCAGAAAATCGATCTCCATTCCTGCTGTGGCCAATTCGTCTTCCTGCGAGTCCTCTTCCTCGCCGGAACTCGAAACGAAGCTGCCGAGACCGCCAGCGAAGAGTCCTAGAGAGAACAGTGCTTCCTCGTGATCGTCGACCTCCAGGACCACGTTCACTATCCCTCGTTTCAACAATCCAGAGTTGATTTCCTGCACCGTCACCAGAGATCCGTTGCTGGCTGCCGATTTTAGGAAGCTTCTCGTAAAAGCAGTACTCAAACCGCGCTGCGAGAACACGTTGTAATTGACCACATTCGTCCCAGCCCTCGTCAGGATCTCGTCCAAGTAAGCTGCTAACTTGGAGTCCTTTTCGGAGAGCTGTTCCAAACGTTGGCTCAAGTATTTTCGAATTTCGTAGGCAGGATCGTTGCCGGTTAAGTATTTCACCAGGCCTTCGACGTCCTCTTTGGAAGGTTTGGACTCGAGGATGATGTCCAACGCCAATGTTCGGGCACTGCTGTCCCTTTTAGGCCCACCGATTTGGTAGAAGACTCGCTTGGCGATAATTAGCACCTCGGGGGTTATCGAGTCCTTGGGGATCGTGGATAGCGCCCGCCAAGCTTCCACGCTGATCGCCTTATTCTCGCTGGTCGCGAATCTCAGTAGGGTAGGTATCGCAGCTTTGCTTCTCAGGTTTCTGAAAGCTCTGAGGAACTTTAGTTTGCACTCCTCCCCTGTGCAGCTATCCAGGCCGATTTCCAAGCTGACTCTCGCTTTCTCGACGGCTGTCGCCGATTCCAAGTGGCGCGACATCGCTGCCGCGGTCAAGGCCAACGTTTCAGAGACTTTATTGTTCTGGATTGTTTCCTCGGACCGCTTCAGAATATCTTTCACGATGTCCGCGTTGGGAGTCGGCGACAGAGACAAAGCCCAAAGGTATCTCTCGGTGTCTTCGCCTACCTCGTCCTGTCTGAGGACCTTCATGGCCACTTGATGGCCTGCCAACGTTGACACGGAACCAACAACGTCCAACAGCTGCGTTTTTAATTGACGATACCGCGGGCTTTTCAATATCTTGAGGAGCTCGTCTGGCGTCGCAGATTTGACTAGAGGTGCCAACTTCAGGAACGCTGACGCCGATTTTCCCGTGCCTATCGCGTTATTCTCCAATGCGCTGCGGTACTCCTCGATCGTTTGCTCGATCTGAAAGTAAATTACAAATTAGACGTAGCATTTCATGCTTGTTAACTCGGTTTCGTGAGTTTTGTTGAAAGAACTAGGCCTCTCGTCGAGGTCGTTTACTCGAAGCCCCGTTCATCTGTAATCTTATTCGTCGTAAAGACATTTACTCTTGGCTTTTTCTTACCGGTGAAGCCATAAAATAAACAACGCCAATCGCACACGTTTTCCAACGGGCAGATAGAATGACGCGGGTGATTTACAAAGGTAATATGGCCTTGAACGTCCAATTAAGTTCGATCTGGCTATAAACATCCTCGGAATATATCGACAAACTGGTTTCACACTAACCGTTTGACACACGCCGTTAGGACAAGTGGACTGCTCCAATTGAAGTTCCATGTTCGTTTCCTGGTATCTGGGTTGCAACGCTGCGATAGCTTCTTTCAAGGTGTTCGCCTGCACGGTTTCCACGGTCAAAGTGCCAGGGACCAACTCGAGCGTCCTTTTCGATATAACAATGGTGCCAATTTCCGGTCTAGCGGTCAGCGTCATTTCATGCCTCTCCTCGTCGCGAACCATACTTGGCAAAAGGTTCTGCGTGAGCTCGTAAGTGGAATTGCGTGTACTCGCGAGTTTCACACCGAAGAGAGGATTAGGATGGCGTTTTCTCGGTGGCAGAGCGCTCTGCTCGCAGACTGTCTTTCGTTTCCCTACCGTCTTGGGACCCAAGGAGTGGTAGATCACGTTGCAGAGACCAGAGGCGTCTCGTTCTTCAACGTCGTCGTCGAACACTCTGTACTGGAAGAGGCTAGCCAGGCCGCGCTTCAGATTCGCCGAGGAGACGCTCTCCGATGGATCCATGTACACAGATTTAATCTCCCCGTTCTTCCAGACCACCAACAATGGCTTCCTGGCGATCACGCTCACCTGAGACGAATGCTCGACGAAACCCTCTGGTTCGGGGGCTCTTCGAGACTTGATCCATAACTGCGGCGATACCAGCTGCGAAAAAATCGTTCTTGTTAGCAACAAGTTTTCGATATAGTATTTGGGTTATTATTCTCTAATATCAAAGTGTTGGATATCTTTAGTGTAACAACTTTGTATAATAAGTTATTCATGTGCTAATAGAAGAGCAAACATTGAATCATTGAACCATCTGATCGATTCAAGAAGATAGTACAAATTTAGAAAAGTATCCGGTCTTGGAAAACTATACAATCTTATTGTTAAAAGCAAACTTTCCGAACGTAAAATGTGTAATTCGTGTCGAATATCTGATTCGATGACGGTTGACGAGTTTCAGTTTACGCGTCTTTCAAGGAAAGGTTATCAGCTTTGCACCGGACATGCAAACACTTTTAACACTTATCGTCGCTTCTTCGATAAACGTACCATTTATATGAACGAAATTAAGTATCCATTTAGCGTTTAAGGTAAACCGTACTTGAATTAACACGGCTAACGGTGCTTCCGATATAAAGTTATATCAAGTAATCTTTACTTGTTCCATTTGGTTAAAATATGCAGAGAATACATTTACAAGAAACGAGAAATTATGTAAATGCACTAAACGTACGAATAAGTAATACAAAACATTCAATTAGAAGATTACATGGGAATGTAATTTTCAAACGAATGGAAAATTATGATGATTACTCTTTGCAAGAATTTATCATTCGAGAGACAATCAGAATCATACATGCTGACAATAAAAAAGAAAACATAATAAAGGATATCAGTAGCGGCACTTGTTCGAGCAATGAAAGGCCTCTACTTATGTATGAATTTTCTGATTTGAGATAATCTTCACAATACCCTCAGAAAAATATCTCTTTGAGCAAAACAATAATTATAGAACCGTGGACGATACTCGACGCAGGCATTGTCATACGTACGATGGATTAAAATCAAGGCAACTATAACGAACCCTGGGAAACTGAGAAAACCAAGGTTAAAAACAATATCGTCTCCAACGATCATCCGACAAAGAAAATTAAACCGAAATCATCGAACTATCTCAACTACCATAAAGGAAGTTTCATCATTCTCTCGCACCGCGGGTACGGCTGCACAAATACCATTTCTATCGATTAAAGCAACAGCCATATTTTAATTATCCCCCAGTGCCTCGATTATATTCCAGACGGCCGAGTGACACCGCGTCGGTGCTTCACCATCGTCGAGTAACGGGCCCAGTCATTCTATTCATGGATGTACGCAAGAACTTCCTTTCGATCGCGGCTAATCTACCATAAACATTCGAGCGGTAACGCGACGATTGCTCGCGGCTGAAAGAAAACTAATATTCTTTCTCGACGAGACGAGAAACCTTGTACCTCGATACTGAGCAAAAAGGTGTCGCGGTCGGTGGGCATATGCCAAACGGCGGTCACGTCCAGGCCGCCGGTCATTCGGAAGCCAACGTCCCCGCTGGATTTCGACGGAGCAGCCTCGTTGAAGAGCAAGGTCGTCGTCAGCTTGTACTCGAGGCCACTTCCCACGTTCCAGCCTCTGGTGGCCCCTGCCACGGCTGCAACAATCATCCACAGCATCCAGTACGCGAACATAATCGTCCAAGAGTCGGTAAACCGAACGGAATCGATCGCCTTTGTCGCGTCTTCGCTCGACGAAACCGCTCGCCCAACGATCGGCCAGCCGAAAAAAGTATTTCGGAATGTGACCCGGCGAGAGTCACGCGTCGACTGAAAAACATTGTTACTCCGGAACCTCTCGTCTAAACCGATGAGACGCACAGGATACACGGACTGTGCGCGTGTGAGCGTCCCATGCGGGTTGATATGTGTGTAGCGCTACGTCTACCACGTACGCGTGGGCGGGCAGAGATGCTACAGTCCGCAGTGATTGGGTTACGAAGCACTCTGTTTTGGCTATCTCGATAGTATAGCTGTTTAATGTCGAACGTTATCTTCTTCTTTTTTTTTTTTTTTTTTTTAAATAAAGAAAAAGTAACAATTTCTCTGGCTGGCCGGTATTTAAAAAACTGAGAAGAAACGATTTCTTCTTTTCGCGGACTTCCAAGAAGATGGACATTTCGACGTTGAGAATTTGAACGATGCATAAGAAGAAACATATAAAATTAGATGACTTCCTCGTTCGACTCTGTGTAATTACTCAATCAATACGTCGCATTTCGAAACCGGTTAGCCAAGCGTGATGAAGACTGAAGTAATTTGCAATAAATAAACTGCTCGTTAAACTGGTTCTTCGCCCAGTGTACTATAAATACAGCTACAATTACCGAAACGAACCACAAAAATACTCAGAAGATTGAAAGATAAAATTTTAGCTTAGGTCGTCCTGATCGCGGTAATTGTCGAGCAGCGCGTGCGTCTGCATTGTCTAGTTTACGTTAATAATCAAATGCAAATTGAATTATGACGGTAGACGCGAAAACGACTTTCGCGGCGTGAAGTTAACACGCGGGTGTACGTTGAAATCAGTTCGCAATTACTTGCCTCGCCTTGGCTTTGCTTTTTAAGCCGTGAAACGATGACTGACTCGACAAGAAATAAACTCTAGGATAGAATCGTGGATTCTTGCGAATACTTGTGTCAGCAAGTGAACGTGTACACACACGTGTGCGTTTGCTATGCAACGTGCACGCGACGGGTGAATGTATTCGTACGGTTATATGTACAGGGTGGCTTCGAAATGCGATGGAGACGAAAGTCAATTGAACAATGAGATCTTAAAATAAATAACGATCGGTTCGAGGATGGAAAGAAAGTATACGAGAATAAGATTCGTAGATGTCGAGCTTTACCATTCGTTTGAGATGTTCAAATATTATATTATATTAATATGGAATTGATATTTTGGAACCACCTTGTACGTCAGAGTCTGGATCACTGTTCTAAAACCGACAACGAGATGTACGCGGTCGCAATCCCTTTTGCGTGTACATACGTACGCACGTATTCACGCACACCTACACAATCTAACGACACCGTTAATTCACGGAGTCCCTGCTACACGACACAGACACAGAAATGGTACCGCTTCTGTTTCAATTAAACGTAACTTATCGCCAAACCAATGAGTAGGTATTTACAAAATTGTTCGTTCGTGATAAGAAGTAGAAAAAAGTAGTTTTAGAGAGTCCAGTCTTAGACTTTATTACATAAAATAATTTTAACGAGCTCCGAATTATACTAAATTATTGTATACTGATAATAGGGACATTGGAAAGTGGAACATATGTGTCAATATTATCTACAATAATTAATTTTAGTGTTCCGGTACTAAATATAAATAACAAATTAAACGGTTATTACGAGTGGACAGTGCGGTTTATACGTATCGGTGATTAGTATGTTATCCTTACGCGTTTTTCTTGGTTTAACGGTATAGGTAAACCGTAATATAAGGTTTTCTTTAGAAAATTCATCTTGCGATGTTTATTTTATTCAACAATGTCTACGGAATGTTTAATCACGAGGTTCTACATTCCTGTTGCTTGTTTTGAGATGTAAATGATTACATCCTTCCAACCCAAGTATTCCGCCTGCGAATAACAGTGATTTTAGGTTGAATTCTCAGTTTCCAGTGAGAATACCAACGCTGAATGGAATGAAGTCGTATTATAAATACCTAGGGTCTGCAGGTAGCCTAGGATCGAGTATCTAGTCAAACAGGCTTGGAGTCTTTCCTATTTTATTAGATCCAAAATTGTGTAGTGTCTTGTTTATACTATAAACAAGCGTTCTACTTGTTTTTAATCGAAACTTTTAATTCGAAGTTTCTATTCAGAAAATATCTTGCGTCATCGTAATTTCTTACGAATTTAAATAAAATAAAATATTTACCTGGTGCCATTTGACAGTAGGAACCTGCAAAAAGAAAATTAAATCTCAATTAAAAACGGCTCTCAACGATTCAAAAATGGAAAAAGTAATTGTTTTCTTTCGAAGATTGCGAGTACAAGCGACTATGTATGGGGACAATTGTTTCATCAGTTTACGAGACGTCGAATAGAATCGTGTCGTAAATAACGAAAACGTAAATAAACACCTCGTGTACCGCTGCAAAATGAATTTGATGAATGAGTTTGGTGGCGGATTTGAACGTAGCGGGGATGAGCATTGCGCAGGATAGGCCAGAGGGCTCGATGAGGCTAGGAAGAGAAAGCAGGGGGGCCAACACAGCCTGGTAACTCACCGAAGAGTGCCAGAAGGTAGACGAGGGAGACGGTGAGCGCCGTGACCGGCTTTTCTGGACAGGCCATCTTTTGCTCGTTCCTCTCGGACGACCTTCCTCGTGCCTACTACCCCGGGACTCTTCGTGTTCTACGTCGCTCCGTGCCGTCTTCTTCTCCTTCTGCGAGTAAATACGAGTAATTAGTCGGGGCAGGCCTACGTTATCAGGTCCCGCAACCATCTCTGCCTTCTTCCACTCCTCCTTGGTGCTTCTCCCTCCAACACTCGTGATACTACCAGTAGTGATGGGATTAAGCGCCCTACAAGTAGCTTTCAATTCTGATCGACTAGCATTCCTTCGTACTTGGTGGAAAAGGTTGGAGTCAGTTGCGTCCAGCGCTGGAAGTTTCGTTGTCGACGTTCCAAGAATCTCCCTTTAGTACGTATATGTATAGTAGAACACCACGGGAGTTTTAGCGGGTAGGGTAGGTAGGTCCTTTACCGCCTTGTAAGCGGTGCGGGAAATCCCACGCAATCCCCAGCCTTCTTTGAACCTTCTCCTTCTTTGAAAGGTCCGAGGTTGTTTTACCAAGATCTCGTGGGATTCCCCGTATCTACTATGGAGTGGTGCAGTACTTACCCGCTAAAACTCCCTATCCCTGTAAGCTGAAAAAAAGTATACAAAAGTGAAGATCAGTTCAGTTTGTTTACTTAACATAGTTTGCTACTGATCGCGAGGTATTGATATTACACTTGATCCCATCGCTAACCATGAGGACGATGTACCTACCCCCACTGTCCAGACTGGTCCTTGGAGGGGCCGGAGAAGGATCGTCGCGTGGGGACGACGGTGTCTGGTTTTCTGTCGTTATACGTTCCGAAACGAGATGTGCTTTCCACGGTGTCTGATTCTGTCGTTCTTTGCGGTCGTCTCCTCGATGATGGAAGAGGTGTGGTGAATTGTTCCCGATTGGAGTGTTATTCCAAGTGACACCTTCGCGGATAACACCCTGAAAGTGACCCGATGTTTTATATGGATACTAACATAGTATTATACTCGATATAGTATGTCTAAGTTTCTTTTGCCGCTTCACGGACTAATTCCTATTTCAAAGTGAAAAGGAAAAAGTGCCCCAGTTATTTGAGTTTCGTGCTTGTTTCAGTGGGTTTTAAATAAATTGCGGCATACTAACTAAAGCATGCTATCGCACCTCCCCTTACAAATTCTTTATTGCGAACCCGAAGAATTTACTGTTTTCTTCGTCAAGAGGAACAAATACGTACATTTCAGATACAATGTGCCTGTGTAATTTTTTGTTTTAAAAACTTGTTCTTTATCTCTACCATTATTACTGTTACGATACCATTGTACAGTTTTAGTATAAGTAGGTCCCACGATTAAGTCCCGTACCGCTAGTTTGTTCGAAAAATTATATAAACGGCGATAAGCAACGTTTAGCGTTTACAAATATAGCGATTCCTATAAGTAAACATATTATAGTAGACATATTAACAAAGTATACATCTTCGAAATACTATCGCATTCGTAAGGTATTCAGTTTTCTACAAAATATTCTAGAAGCCTTGAAATTATAGTTGTCCGCAAAGTTCAGGAGCGGTCAAAGCACTTGCGTTTTACGTTGATTGCGCAGAATTGCTATAGCAAACACTCGAAATTCTTTGGACCCTCGTGGAACAAGTTTAGCCTCTTGTCGTTGACGCGACAATTCGTAGTAGAAAACAAACGTAAAGAGTACATTTATCGACGACCTTGTAGGGGTACAAGGTTCGGCGGCACAGCTGTGTCAATGATCAACGTGATTCACGTTCATTTATTTTTAGATTTCTTATAAATTGCGATCTTCGGGTTTTCAAGATTTAAAACTCTTACTGTTTACAATTTGTAAATATGTTTATATATATATAAAATACTGTATTTACAAAATAAAAACCGCAATGACTTACCTTCCAAAGTTAAAATCGGAAATTCATTCTTACGCACTTGCAAACTGTACGATACCACGAATCACTTGTAAAACATCAAATGCGTCAAACGTGAAATATATTCCTTGATATTGCACGTGGAATCCAATTTCTAAACGGAGTTCAAATCAGACACGCAGTACGCATTGTTCACGGAAGACAAGATATACACTGATCGCTGTCCAGGAATCTCCGCTGTTCCCTTGTCCGCTAACTCAGACAAATAAAGCGCGTCAAGGAAATTTGCGAGACGCAATGCGTTCTTATCGTTAGATACAACCTTTGTCCAGAGGTGACTTCATTGATTTTCCTACCGATTGACCTTCTATAGATTACATTCTTCTCTTGACAAATGTTTGGCAACCTTATCTAAAACCTACGGTATGTTGTATGCAATAATATTTTATGTATAACTATAATATAAGATTTCCCCAAAGTCGGTAAACACACAAAATGCGGATAAACATAGAACAACTAATATAAAAATATAAAAGGATACGTTTATTTAGTTATAAAATGAGCAACATATAATTACACGAAACACGTTTTTAATCATTTAAAAAATTAGTCCTTTTCAAAGAGAAGACACCATTTTAAAGCTTCAACCATAATACACATTTCTCTGCTGGGTCTTGGTGCCTGATAGTGTAAAATTTTGATCATTTTTATTGCATCATCTAAGACATTCAATTCATTCAAAACATCATCTTTAGAATCAGAAGCCATGAGAAGTCGCCATCTTTCTTCAACTTTAGCGAATTCACGTTTCACTGCCTCGTTCAAATTCTATGGTCAAATATAGCAAAAATATGTATGCTGTTACGTTTGGATATGTATTTAGGTATTAAATAACTTACAGTGCTCGGTTTCATATCGTCGAATAATGGCCAATCTTCTCGGCATGGCAAGCAATTGCACGTAAACAGGTAGTTCTCCAAGAGACATTCCTGTCTCTCAGTTTTTGGAATATCCGCATAGAACTGATCGTAACAATCGAATATCTTAAAGAAAATAAATTTTGTCGTTAACATTATGTTAATGTAACTTCTACGAATATTCGTTCGCGTACCTGTTCATCTTTCTCAATGGGGCATATGGCATACATAATCATGTGTCCAGACCTCAATTGTTTGAATACATTTGGATTACAGGAGTGATTAATCAAACTATAGAACGAAATAATTGCAGAACCATGTGAAAATGGTTCCACTTCGCGGTATCCTGTGATCTGTTAACGAATATAATTGTTAAATATGCAAAGCAACGAGACGAAATAATTATTAATATCTTTGTATAATTACATCTTTTGCGATTACATACGTCGTGAGCATTACAGGAAAGCATCAACTGGTGCTTCAATATAAGACCGCCGATGAATGTCACGTCGGTATTTTGTACTAATGTGGACATATCTTTCTTCAATGGACTTCCAAATAAGTTAGAATGCGTCGCCAAATAGTATAAAATGAAACTAGTACCAAGACATCTGCTAAACATATAGTCGGTCGAATATTTTTCGCTATTTGTCTCGAGACTATATAAACTTCTGTATTTATCATTCTCAAAAGTACCCTTCTTAGAGAAACCCTTTGTACGAGGATCTGAAAGAATATACAATTAAAATGACTCGTTTTCTATGTATATATAACTATACATACATAGTTAATTACCATTACAAGTGTCAACTTCTCTCAATTCTTGTCTTAATTCTCGTATACTCGGACTTTCTTTTACAGCCTGTACAGCGATTCTTACGCTAAATAATTCCGTTGTACTAAAATCCAGCTTAAACATAAAAGGAATTACAGAGCATTCCATGTCATGATATTTCTCCCAATCCAAAGTCTTACATTCTTCTGAGCAATACATACTGTAAGGACAGTAGTTACAAGGTATATTGGACCAACATGGTATTAAACAGTAGGAACAATGTGTGTACATATTATCAAGACTATAGAGTGTAGAGTATGCTTTTTCTATGGCAATTACTTCACCAGGATCTATTTTGCGTGTAGCCACAAGATGTCTACCATATTGTTTGTTGTACTTTATACTTATTGCATCCGAAGCACAAGGTATTTCAGTGTTGGGAGTCTTTATTTCAGGAAATGTATATTTTGTCTTATGTTTCGCATCTGTTTGTCTTTTAGAGCTACACAATTTTGGCATTTTGTCTTTAGAAATAAGCGTCTCCTTTAATTTCTTACAGTAATCGCAATTTAAAGGCATTTTATCTAACCATTGCTGTGCTTCTTTGATACCATTGTCTGCATTAGGATGCTCTAAAGCCTCCAAACACTCGATTTTTCTTATGTAAATCTTAGCTTTCAAATAATCTGGGTAATTTAATGCCAATGCTCTATCTATGTCGCGAATGCATTCTTCGTATTTCTTTAATTTAAACAAGGCAGCAGATCTGTTGGCATATGCCAAAGTCAGTTGTTCGGATGGATAAGGAGCGTAAGCTATACTTTTGGTGTAAAGTTCCAAAGCTTGTTCGTAAGATGTATTTGTCAATGATTTGGAAACAAATATGTTGTTACCTAATGTCCTTAATTTCTCAGATTCATTTGCGTTTTTTGTAGCAGGACACACGTTAGGAAGTACATTGTATCTTAACATAAGATCAAGAGTAAATTTTACACGTTCTTCATCTGTATGTAGTCTTTGGAATTCGATAAAGTGATCTTCATCCGTCAATGCAGAAGCCATCCTTTTTTGTAATGAATAATATGCTTTCTGGATTTCCATCTTCTATTATTTATAAGTTTCAAATTACGTATAATCGATACCATTCACGTAATGCAGTACCTTCTAAGCCTCAACGGTTTTGTATGTTCTTTTGTTTATTTCTGTGACCTAAGTCTTATTCAAACGGAATCGTAAAGATTGCGTTTGAATTTAGTAGTGTTTTTCCGAGCATGTAGAAAACTTGATAACCACGTGCAAGAATATGTAGTGCACTTTGTTACATATGTTCCTTGTAGGGGGATCCACCGATATTCAAGCTCGCATAATTATTTTTGCCGATTATGTTTGTACAATTCAAATATGGGAAGGAGGTTTAAACTGTAGTGTATTCTAAAAAACATTAACTCTTGTACTCCACGTGACAGTCACCAGGTTCGGCACCACCACGGACATAGAAATATAGGGACTGCGCATAGTTGAAACCGGAGTGAAGGCATATCCGCCATATTACGTTGCCATTGCGAATCATGGGACTGCTAGACATTTGTATAGAGTGTATAGTCTATGGCTAAACCCCTCCACACAACCTCTAATATCTCCTAACATCTCCTAGCAACTCCTGCCATATCCTGCTATCTTCTGCGTCTTCTGACATCTTCTGAAATCTCCTAATATTTCCTAACAACTCCTAACACTACCTTACATTTCCCTTTAATTTCCCTTCCATTCCTGGCACATTTCTCATTAATTTTCCACCATTTCGTGCCACATTTTCCTTTAATTTCTCTACTTTCCCTGGCCAACTTCTCGCTCATGGAACCTGACACAAAAGGTAAGTTTCAAGCTAAAATTCAAAGTTATGCCACCTCTTCAAGTATCATGTTCTCCGGATACAAAAGGTAAGTTTCAAGCAAGAATTAAAAATTATGTTACCTCCGCGTTCATCAAGTTATCTTAATACAAAAGAAGGTAAGTTTCGAGCTATAAATGAAAGTTATGCCGCCTCTTCGAATATTATGTTCTCCTGATACCAGGAGTAAAAATCCGATATTTCCCATCACAATTTTGAGAGGAGCGATTTGCAACATTGTTGACTTTGCAACATTGTTGAATTTTGGAGAGGAGCGATTTGCAACATTGTTGACTTTGCAACATTGTTG